CGCCACGCCCACGGCTGCCCCTACGGCCCACCCCACCGCCGCTCCCACCAAGCCGGTCTACACACCCCCCCCTACCGCGTCCCCGACGCCGGCTCCTACCGCCGCGCCCACTCCTGCGCCCACTCCTGCGCCCACGGCCGCTCCTACACCCGCCCCAACGGCCACGCCCACCGCGGCACCGACTCCGGACATGGACTTCGACCCCAACGGTTCGGGCGCCAGCGTTTACAGCAAACCCCCGACCCCGGCACCCACCGAGGCCGCCTACACCAAGCCCCCCTACAAGCCCGAGGATAGCAAGACCCGCCGCCTGCGACAGGCGTAAAGTTCTCAGGACTTTTAGATTCTTTAGAGTACGTGAGGCTCAAGGCGAAGGCAAGTGGCTAGGAGTGTCAAAGCATTGCATAGTATGATTTGAAGCGTTGGGTCGGGTCTAGTTACAAAATTGAAGGCTTGTAGAGCACCAAGGCGCTTGGAAGTATACCGTCGACTGGTCCCTTAAAGCATTTCTCCAGGTCAAAATTGAACTGTGAATTGGAGGAAAAAAATATGTCACCTTTGTCAGTGGTCGGTATTGAAAAAGAGTACTGGAGTGTATGTACGAAAGGGAGGTCAATGGCATGTACATGATCCCACAGAGCTTGATAGATGCCGCAAGATGAACGATAAAAAGCTCCAGCCAAGGTTGTGTGCATGTAGGGAAATTGAGAGTCCATGGCGATAGGGTCTGTAAGCTCAGTCCAACCTGTCTAGAAAAGGATTCTGGGTCGATTTTACGGAGAAATATCTATGTAAGAATCCCCAGATACCCTTTCACTGTGCTTAACCGCCTTTACAACAATCGAAGAAGACAGTCACTGAACTCGCTTTGAAGTAAATAATTTTAGACTACTTTTTCTTGATATGCTCAAAAAGCCTGCGCACATAGTATGTCGTCTCATCGAGTATCAAAAATGGCAGCTCCTCTTCTTTTGTCTGCCTGTTTTATATTTATGTCTTCGGCTGAATACACGCTCTGCAAATGCCAGACTATGGTCCTCAATGGTAGCGGTGTGCGGTGGGAGGTTCAAGTGCCTGAAGTCTCAATTTTTTGGAATGTTTGTCTCGGCATCGATGGTCTCAAAGGCAACACCTATATACATAGATTGCAATAAGAGCTACCTCTTGTTATCAATTGCGAGCCCGGTGTGAATAAATGCTGAAAGGTTGGTGTAGCATGTCCCCGATTCTCCTCCGTCGCTGGGCACGTCTCGCTTTTCCTCTTCAGCGAGACGCGGCAAGCCTGGGGAGGGAGGGTTGACTAAACCAACATGTCTATCGATAGCGATGCAGTAGAGGGGGGGGTGAACGACTACACATAAGAATGATTCTCCATTACCGCTCTCGCAAAGCGCGTGCTTGATTTGCTTGAGGCACCGGGCCTTTTCCACATCGGAAATTCTTTCCTTCCTAGCTCGGACTCGAGCTTCCACATAAAAGGCATTTCAAGGCACTTACTCATGTGCTATCACTATAATCACAGGGCTAGATCATATGGACATGTAAGATGGGGCCGTATTTCCACTTCCGACGTCCTCAGAAGCCGAACACTAGCACACCCCGCAGCACGCGTGTAGGAACCCTCGGCGGAAGCACTCCCCGGGGCTTCGCCGCCTTCTTCCATTCCCTCCCTCCTCCCTCGAACGCAACGGGCACCCTTTCCCCGTCCCAAAAATGTTTCCGCTTCTTTGCCCGCGACCAGGGCAATTTCTTCAGCAGCCACGGTCCCGAGGCACGAGACCTGGCGGCCCGTTTCTATTCCACCCAAACTGTTGTCCGCAGCCAGGGGGGCCTGTCCTCTCTCTCCATCTCCCGCAAGCTCTTTGCCTCCCGCGTGCTGCCCTCCCTCCTGGCATCGGGCGCGGCTGTGGAGATATGGGAGCAGGCGGCGGGAGAAGGGAGCGAGCAGGAGGAGTGGTTCGTGGCCCGGGCGGGGAGGCCTGGGGACACGCGCGCTCTGGAGGACGTCATGCTGGCGTTCTCGGGACAGGGTGCCTCGCAAGCCGAGCAAGAAGCATCGTCGCTGATAGGCACAGGGGTGACAATGGCTGTGCTGGTGCAGGAGGGAGGGGCGGGCAGAGGCGCGGTCTTCGGTGCGTTGACGACCTTGGGAGGGAGGAGCGAGGGGTTACCCATCGAGGGGGGTTTCT